AATGATAAGCAATAAGGACAAGGAGAGCACTGGAAAGAATGGGAAGCAGCAGGAAGAATGCAGAGGAAAGCTTTCCCCTGCTGCACAGATTCTCACAGATTCATGGTTGATTAAAGGATGCCGGTCTTCAACTGAGCAGGGGCTCCCTTCAGTTTCAGTAGGAATTAGATGTCCCAATACCACTGATGATTGGGCCTCCATAGGTATGTCCAGACAAGCACACACATCTGAAAGTAGTCTGAGGTCCCACAAACTGCATACTGTGCATCTGCATCTGTTCACCATACTGCTAACTTGCAACATGGTAGTTTTTTTGACACTGGGAGATCCTGGTGTAGAAAAAAAATGTTAAAAAAAGTGGTGTGGCACACATGGCAGCAGCATGCACTGCCAGAAAGGGAGCCTGGCCAGCCACCAGCCAGCTCAGCACTGCTGCTGCCTTGGGAGGTGCCCAGGATCACAGGTGAGGCTGCTGGGTCCAGCACAGGTGCTGGCCTCAGCCGCCTCTACTCCACCCGGGTCACTTTGCCATGTGCCAGACTGTGCACGCCAGGGTGTGCCTGAGGACAAATGGCAACAGCACAAATATGTGTTGCTGCTATTTGTCCTGTGGGAAACGTGTGTCCCTGTAAGTGCATTCTCATTGGGATTTTCCCCATGGGTCTAGTTCAGGATACAAGCTTAGTACGTGGGCCTTCCATTTTAACGGGAGTCAGTCTACAGAGTTTCATTTTCTTGGAGTTCAAAAGCAACTTCGTAAGCATAAAACAGAAAACCAAGATCTTCAAGCTCCTTCATGGTGCCTCTGGCTTAGCCAGGGAGGGATAGGGGTAAACATGAGTTTTTAGCCACCTCTTCTCCAGTGGTTCTGCTGATACTTGTACTGGATTAAGAACCAGATCCAAAGTGAGATTTAGGCTCCCAAAGTGGGCATGTATGTCCAAAACTGCAATTCTGAAACCCCCACTCAGCTCCCAGCTAAACCTAAAGGTACCTAAAGATTCTTCAGCCTTCCTTTTTTAACCCCAACATTCCCATAGCAGTGAAATTTTGCCTCTGTGCAATCCCAGAAATTCCCCACTCTAACTAAGGCTGGGCTGCCCAGCATCTCACACCCAAGCCCAATCAGGTTCCACACACTAGATATCCCTCCACTCACCTCAGTCTGTACCAGACACACACGTACAGGACTGGGTTCTTTAGCCTCAGGGGAATTCAAACACATATCTCCCATGACAGTGCCCTGACCACCAGGCTCTGGGATATTCATTGCTGAATGGTAGGACACAATCTTTAGATAAAATACAGAAACATGTCTGAGAGCGGGCCAGAACCCAGGAGTACTCCTCTTAGAACTGAGCCTTAATTACTAAGCTGCAGCCTCTGGCTCATTATTATTATTATTATATTTTTTTTGCTGGCCCCATTTCATAGATTTCATAGACATTAGGAGCTGGAAGGGACCTCATGAGATCATTGGGTCCAGACAAGGTCCATGAGAGGTTGTTTGGCTTTTTTAATGCACAGTTCTAACAGAAAGGGTGGGAGGTGGCCCCATCCAGATTAACCAGCAGCCCACAGTGGGAGGGAGGCATGGGTCTGAATCCCCTCAGACCAGGGATAGAATAGAACCCATGTATCACCCTATGATTTGACAAACCTATTTCTATTTGCTGTGAAATAGTTTTATTTGTGCAACATCTGCACCAACAGCTTTCTCCCGAGTGGAGTGGGAGTGTGGCATTGGTGGTGAAATATTTTTCAGGTAAATTATGCTAGTTTATACATGGGCCCCAGACTTTAGCATAGACGTAAAGTTCAGGACATAGGCACACATACAGTTTCAGTTCTGTATTTTGATATCCTAAATGATTGTTTTTATGCTCTCTTCAGGCTGCCTTAAGGATGGAAAGATGTATGCCATTGATGCGTCCTGGTATACTAAGGAGTGCCTTCTGTGCCATTGTACCCACAAACACATAACCTGTTGCAATGTGTAAGTGCAAAAAATAATGCTGGATTATTTGAATCAGGGGCAAATTTAGAAAAGGGTTCAGTGGTGCAGTTGCCCCCCAACCTCCCTGCTTCCAGAGCATGCTGTGGGAGCAGCAGCAGGGGACTTTTTAAAGTCCCTAAAGCAGGTAAGACACCTCCTCCTGACACCTGCTCTCTTCCCCTCTATGCTCAGCATTACCTCCCACCCCCATCTTTCTTCCTCTCTCCAACCTGCCACCGCTGCTGGCCCCAGCAGACCTGGAGGTGAGGGGAGCTCCAGAGCAGCTCCTGCCTCATTCCAGCTGGGTTGTGCAGGGAGCTGGGCTCAGCCGGGGACACAAGCAACCATGGGCAACTGTTGCCACCTTAGTCAGAGGGGGTATGTCCCCCCCCAGTGACCAGTCACCAACTGGGGGGAGGTGGGGTCCCTCCATGGCAAAACTCACCAACCAGGAGGCAGTGCTCCTGGAAGCAGCCACGGCGCTACATCCGGTGCTCCCATTCCCCGGCCAACACTTGCAATGGGGGGCACTGGTGCTCTTACTTGCCCACCTGCCCATCACCTCAGCAGGGAGCACAGCCGGTCAGGGGGTGCACCAGCACTCTCAGGGGGTACACATGTACCCACTATGCATTGCCACTGCAAGCAGCAGGAGTATTCCTCCCTGCCCAGGAACCCAGGTGTTGCCTACCAGCCTGGGATCAGATGAAGGGAGTAGAAATCTGCTTGCCAACACTGCCACTGCTCCAGCTGAGCCCAGCACTCCATACAGTCATTTCATGTGGCCTGGGCCAAAGCAGGGCAGGAGCAGTCACAATAGCATCACTGATGGGTGGGTTTCCCCTTCCTGTGGCCAGTACCAAGGGAAGGGATGGAATGGGAGTGGAAGGAAGGTGCTGCTGAGCATGGCAGGGCCAGGGTGTCAAGAGAAAAGGAGGGGATTCTTACCAGATTCAAGGACATAAAGAAAACAAAAATCCAACCCACTACTCCCACAGTGTTGACTTTCTAGCCCAGTGGGGAGGGGAGGCTGAGAGTGGGGGTGAAGAAACTGCTCTAACATTGGTTGCTGCTCCTGCAGTCCCCCTTTCAAAGTCTGGGCTCCACCCATGATTTAACTTTATAAACTATACCAATCTCTTAGTACTCATGTCCTAGAAAACCCTGAAGATCCATTAGAGATTCAAGGGACGTGTCTACACAAGACATTTACTGCAGAGTAGACTAATTAGCTCCGCAGTAAATGTCTCAGCATCTACATCTGCAGACCATTAGGCTTCAGTAAACTAATAAACTCAGCAGCAAGGTAGTACTTGTAAATACAAGTACTATCCTGCTGTGCAGTTTTTTACTCCTCAGCACTGCACATGTAAATGATGACCAGGTTTGGCTAGGGCATGAGGGTGCTTCAGTGCGGGAGCTGCCTGCTGGCTAGCCCTGCAACGGAGCACCCTTGTTCCTCAGCCAGCCCCTCCACAGCACATTGATCCGGGTCACAGCCAGGCTGCTCTGACCCGGCTCAACATGCTGCAGTCCTGGGTGCACATGGAAATGCAGTACCTGGGAGCGATGAACTCTGGCATGATACGCACTGGAGTTTATTGAATCCTGTTACTGTGCACATGTAGACACATCCAAGGCACTCAGATCTGCTTGCCACCACCACCACTGTTCCCAGCTAGGCCCACCTCCCTGAATAGGCATTTCCCGCAGTCCCAACTACAGTGGGGCAGGAGTGGCTGGGACAGTGGTGTTGGTGGTTGGGTTTCCCCTTCCCATGTGCAGAGGCATAAGTAGAGAGAGTGAAGAGGAGAAAAAACTGCTGCCTGAGAAGTTTCATGTCAAAGATAAAAATAGTGCTATGCAACAGGGTTATGCTAAAAACACAGCTACCTAGGTGCCACACACACCATGTTGATGAAGGGATCACCACACTGCTAATTACTGTCACCCCAGTTTGCCCTGGGTCTTTTTTCCTTGATGGCCTGTTGGCTTCCAAAACCCCAAGCTCATCATCTGCAGGCCTGGCTGGTTGAAGGATGTCAGAGGCTCAACTTCAAACTCAGGGAAAGGATTATCTGTCCAGTCCCTGAGCCCAAAGCTCAGACAGCAGCAGTGGAGAAGCTGGCCCTAAATTGAAGCGGTGGGTTTTAAAAAACACTACTTCAATTTAGGGCTGATTAAACCCCCATGCCGTGCACATACCCCGCTGACTTGCCTGCCTCTCCGGTGGGGAGGGAAAGGCAAGCTGCTGGCGGGTGGAGCGGTCCCTGGGCTGCGGAGGGCAACAGAGGGGGGCTGGTGCTTCCCTTTGTGGCAGTGGTGGCATCCCCAGGCAGCACCTGCCTGCAGGCACCTGGCTCGGACAGTCCTGGGGTCACTGCAGCCATGGAGGGAAGCACTAGGCCCCTGTGCAGGTCAGGGGCTCTGGGATGGTGGGGAAGAATCAGGCTTGCTGGTTTTCTTGAGTGGAGCCTGCCTTCCCAGGCTGCTGTCAGGCTGCCTGCAGGGCTTCCTGCAGAGCTGTGGAGCTACACGGAGCCTGGTGCTTCACTCTGCGGCTGTAGGGGCAGCAAACTAAAACTCTTCAAAGGAGTTTCAGTTTGCGGTGCTCCAAGTCATTTAAGGTGCATTACGCTGCCGAATTTCATACAGCAGCGGGAGTTAATGTGCAATATGCTGCCGAGGTGTGTAAACACTGACACCATTAAAGCAGTGCAAAAGCACTTAGCCCACTTTAAAGTGTTGTGCACGCACGCCTCTTGTTTCATCTACACACGGCTGCTGATACTAACCGGAAGTGTGGAGGAGAGGTACAAATGAGATAAGGGCAGAACAAAGAGGAGGAGCATGGCAGATGCAGAAGGGAGGATTTAAAATGGAAAATGAAGGGCAAAATAACTGAAGAGGAGGAAAATGAAGCTCTACAGTTCATTGCACCCCTGTGGCAGGAGCAAAGGAGAAGAGTTAAGCTCCCATGGGAGGAGAGTGTATAAATCTTAAGACTGGCTAGTGGCTTTGAAGGGGCAGGACTGTTTTCCTGCTGGGATTCTTGAGCTGCTGCAACAGACTCTTCCAGTGCTTGGTCAATTTAGCTTCATCAGTCTGGTATCCTACTCTCACCCAACTCTCCTTTCTTTTCCAATGACAGGGCCATCACCCCTGCTGTTTATGACAAACTGCATTGCAACAGCATTTTTTATTCTGAAACCTGCAGTTACAAGCTGGTTGAAAAGATTAACCCTTTTATGCACTGTGATGCTGAGAGCTGGATGGTTTAGTAACAAGTCCCTTCTCTTACTCAAGCACACGTCTTTTATTTGCAACATCTGCTTTACAATTTGGGGCATGACCAGATATGGAGCAAATTATTTCCTAAACCCAAGGAGATGTTCTAAGCAGCGCTGGCTCATTTATCTGTTAATGCATCAAAAAATTATATTATAAGGGATCAGACCTATGTAATGCTATTTTGATGGTGTACTTTTAACAGAGAATGTGTAACTGGTACAAGTCTCCTACTTACAGAAGAATTCCACATGCAGGACCAGATATGAGTACTGTCTCAGTACCTGTTCCCTCTCTTCTAAAAGTTTGAGTAAAATAAATTCAGATAATATCAATGCTTGGTGTGATTAAGGATTGTAAAATGTCCTATAATTTTAGTCTGATCAGTTTAACAAACACAAGACAACTGAAGAAAAAAAAATGACTTCAGAAGTAGAGGCAGATGCATGAGCAAGTATTCATTTACTTATCCCCACTTTCCCCTGCTACTGATTTGGGGGAGGGTAAAGAGGGGCAGGTGGGAGGAACGGAAGGGCAAACAACAGTAGAACTCACCTTTTGGAGCCATGTGAAAGCAAGGACCCTGGTGAGATCCTGTGCTGAGCACCAGGGGAGCTCAGGGTTCTCTGAGCTCGCTGGCATCCATGATTGTGGTGAGGGGGTGCAGCCACATCCCCTTTGGCTATGGTGCACATACACAGTGAGCCCTCTTTACTGTGTGCATGCACACCAGAGCTGAAATTTGACTGAAGAGTAAAATTTTGACTAAAATTTCACATTTTGACTGAAATTTGCATCCACATGTTCTAATACCTTGAACCCCTGAACGACTAAGACTTATCCTCTCTCATTAATTTTCAGTCATATCCTACCTTGTACATCATCTCCCCATGATATGAAACTCCCTGTGCAAGTAATTTCCTCCAATCCACTTATAAGTTATGTAGCTCTCCTCCACTGGCCAACAAGTTATTAGCTACCTAAAGCATCTAAATATGTCCCCACCAGAACCATGTATGACAGGGGTGGGCAAAATATGGCCCGCTGGCTGGATCCGGCCCACAAGGCCATTCTATCTGGCCCACGGGGCCCCTAAAATTTTTTTGAAAATTAAAATGTATCTGTCCTTGGTTCCCATAAAAAATGACAGGAACCAGGGGCAGTAGCATGCAGGGGAACAGTAACAGCAGGGCCGGCTGGCCCCGCCCCCTCAGCAGGGGTTTCTGTCCCGGTGCAGGAAGCTCAGCTAAGCAGGAGGGTGGGGCGGGGGGGAGGGGGAAGGGCAGGGAAGGAGCTGGTGCGGAGTGCAGGGAAAAGCAGCCCTGCCCCCGCCCCGTGGCTGGT